AGCACAACTTCCAAATATCGCGAGAGACATGAGTAAGATCAATACGTTCACCCGTGTGGGTTTGAATGCCCTACTCAGAAAACTTAATATGAATAACTTAATTAAGAAGATGGCTAGCGCTTACCTATACCTGAAATCATCTTATCGTGAAGATAAACAAACTGACAGACCTCAAGATCCTTTTATTTCTTTCTGTGGGAAATGAAACGTCTACTCGTAGAAACAATTTTTAAAAGTAAGTGATAGTTAGCACAATATTCGAATGTTAACGATTAAAAAACCTCACTCATCTACAACGACGAATAATACGACGGAAATAATAATTCGAGGGGTGAAAAGCTTTTTTTTTTATTGCCCTTGTAGGCAGACGAGCATACGGCCCAGCTGATGGTGAGCGGTTACCGTCGCCCATGGACTTCAGCAATGCCAGGGGCAGAGCCAAGCCGCTGCCTACCGCTTAATACTCTCCACAAGCCTCGTTTGAAGAAGGACATGTCATAGCGCTCGGGAAACACCGTGGAGGGGAGCTCATTCCATAGCCGGATGGTACGTGGCAAAAAAGACCTCTGGAAACGCACTGTAGATGACCGCAGTGGCTCCAGGTAGTATGGATNAGCCGCTGCCTACCGCTTAATACTCTCCACAAGCCTCGTTTGAAGAAGGACATGTCATAGCGCTCGGGAAACACCGTGGAGGGGAGCTCATTCCATAGCCGGATGGTACGTGGCAAAAAAGACCTCTGGAAACGCACTGTAGATGACCGCAGTGGCTCCAGGTAGTATGGATGAACTCTACTCCGGTGGCGGGCGGTGCGACGGTAAAAACGAGATGCCGGTATCATCTCGAACAATTCCTCGGAGCACTCCCCATGGAACATACGGTAGAAAATACAGAGGGAACCGAAGTCCCTCCGCAAACCCAGAGGTACCAAACGATTTGGTTTAAGCGACATTTTTTTAGCTTTATAGGAGAGCTAGGTATTTAAAGTTTAAAATTTGGATAATATATCATAAGACAAATACTTCTTCAGCTATTTCAATAGGGTAAACTTAATTGAAGTTCAATTAAAAAGATCGAATTGTTGATAATAATACCAAATAAAACGGACCTTTAATTACAAAGATACTATACTCGTATATCGCTTAAGACGAATAGTCTCTTACATGTTCCGTTATAACTACTGAACCATGCATCCGATTGACTTAAAACTTGGTATCCATGTAGAAAATACATGTACTTAATGGATAGGCTAATATTTTTATGAGTATTGGAGTCCCTAACAATAATGACATTAAATAATAATGCTAATTTTAAATGCCCAGCGAAGCGGGCGAGTACGGCTAGTACTATATAATGACAATAAAAAGCATGAAATAAAACCGTAAAAGTAATTCTAATTAGGAACTAAAGTAGCTTTTACCATGAAAATTGTTGGGCATACTATCATTATACTATGATTATATATAATAAGAATATAGAGAGAAGAATAACAGATATATTATAATAAGAAATTGGTGGGAAGAGAACGAGACAACCGGAGACGATTTCCGGCGTCATCTAAATAACAGTCAAACAGGCGATTATCAGTTAACGAACAGAATCGACTTGTAGAGAGAGAGAGAGAGAGTATTCTTTATTGTACACCAAAAAACAAATAAACAGTGCGATACATTAAACACAAAAAAGTACAATTTGCGGTCTTATCGCTAAGAGCGATCTCTTTCAGACAACCATCAGGTGGACAAGAATCATTTGGAAACGAACTACGCGCGGTGTACCAATCCAGTGAAATACATATACACATCCATACATACATATATTCGTAAATATACATCCAATGAATACACAATGTATTATAATATAATAATAATTATTAAAAAAATATATATATTCTGAATCGACTTGTATTATAATTTTCAGTCGTTCCAATATCGTTACTGTAAATTCAATACAAGAAACAGCCATTTATAAATACACACGAAACATTCATGGCTTTGTAGCTTCGATTCTGACCCACATACAAGTCTCGATCATTAATTATTAGCACACGGTTCCGAAAGGGAAAATTTGACTGTAAGCTTCGTTTAACGAGATACTATTAATCTTTGATCAACCGTTTCAAATTATGTCTGGTAGCTTAATATCAAATTAATATCAGATTTCAGATGTGGTAGGACCTCTTGTAAGTCCGCACGGGTAGGTACCAACCACCACCCCGCCTATTTCGGCCGTGAAACAGTAATCCGTTTCGGTTTGAAGGGTGGAGCAGCCGTTGTAACTATACGGAGATCTTAGAACTCATATCTCAAGGTGGGGAGCGGCATTTACGTTATAGATGTCTATGGGCTCCGGTAACCACTTAACACCAGGTGGGCTGTGAGCTCATCCACACATCCAAGCCGCTACCTATAAATGAATTTGAGAGTTTCTCAGGCTGGTACTTTCCTGGTGTCAATTGCCAAAGTCATCGCCTAACAATAAAGACCCAGAAGCTTCTTAAATAAATTCTAACAGTAACAATTCCAACGGAATATAATGATTGATTGGATTTATTTTAATCTCTAACGCAAAATAACTAATTGCACGCTTGTTTAATCAGATTTTTTTACAGTTAATTAAGTTTGCTTGTATTCTGTCACTATAACTAGCGTGACAATCAAATCTAAATTATAATTTACATTTGAAAGCGAACAAGTGGTTATTATTATATTTTTTTGTAATTACTACTCGCTAATTGAAGTCAGTACACGTAATAATAAATAGTACTACCGAATGTTTTTCAGATGTATGAATGTGTGTGATCAATGAAGGAAACTGTCTTAAGTGCACAGCGGCAGAGGAAATCACGGCCATTTTGGCAAGCTTAAAACTTCACCAGCTACCTTGACATATGAAGATCGAAGTCTTCCAAAAAACCCACTTCTACTCTTCACACTGAGATGCATGATTATTTTACTGATGGTAGGACGTCTTGTGAGTCTGCACGGATAGGTACCACCACCCTGTCTATTTCTGCCGTGAAGCAGGAATGCGTTTCGGTTTGAAAGGCGATGTAGCCGTTCTAACTATACTGAGACCTTAGAACTTATAACTCAAGGTGGGTGGCGAATTTACGTTGTAGATGTCTATGGACTCCGGTAACCACTTAACACCAGGTGGGCGGTAAGCTCGCCCAACCATCTAAGCAATTAAAAAAAATTCACTACCCATAACGTTTTAACAACAACCGTGCTACATCATAAAAGCTATGTGATATTTAATCGAGTATTTAAATATCATAAAGTTAATACGTATTATAGAGAATTCATTTACAGAATGTCATTTTGAAACAGAGTTCTACGTCCTATAGAAGGGAAGTATAATTTCATTTGAAAATAATGTTTTTTTTATTCACGAATCAAAGATAATTAATTTTATATATTTATATAAAACTAGCGACCCGCCCTCGCTTCGCTTAGGAAACATTAAAACACACATGAAACCAAAAAAAAAAAAAAAAAATTTTTAAAAAAACTAAGCTATGTTCATCAGGGACAATGTCGGCTTCTAATGGAAAAAGAATTTTTCAAATCGGTCCAGTAGTTTCGGAGCCTATTCGAAACAAACAAACAAACAAATCTTTCCTCTTTATAATATTAGTATAGATATAGATTGATTTATTAAGTGAATTTATAAAATTATACTCAAGGAGTTGAGTCCGATAAAAGAAAAAATAATCGCTTAAGGAACAAATGTACCAATTAAAATGATGCTCTTCGGAAAAGATGATGAGAACGTATTTTAGTACAGCGTAGTTTGAATTCATACGAATAGATATCTTTATATGTTTGTGTGTATGTTAAAACATTCAAAGTTTTGATTTTGATAGTGGGAAACACAAAATAAACATAATAATTATTAAAACTGAGACTCTGAACTCATAGGTCATGGCGGGGGACTGGGTTCGCGTTGTGATTTCAATAAGTAAGCACTTAGAACCGAGCAGAGCATGAGTTAGTCAACCCAGCCAATTCAAAGTAATTACAGTGTAAGTACATATATTCGTGTCGATGTCCATATATTCGGTTTTCCCAGTTACTTATTGTACCAAATTGTCATACCAGTTTGTCTCTGATTTAAATCACCCTACACAAAAATAGATCTTCTAGTATTTAAACTCTACTAAGACGGTACATGTAGTATTTTACTATAAAAATGCATATAAGATATAAGTTCTAGGTGACACAGACAAGGCGTCTACCTATAATATAACATCTTAAACCAAGATGGCGTAAGATGCTGCGAGGTTCGCCTTCGTTACCCCACATTATAACACGGCACTTAAACGGCTTAATGAAGAAAATTTAATTGAAACTTGAACATTAAGGAAAATCTTGCCTAATTATAATCTAATTAAATTGTAGAGAAAGGAGGAAGAGGGGAGCGGAAATGAATGTTGCACAAGTACGAGGTGAAGACACCATAATTCTAAATTAAAAAGCCACTGATGTAATTGGAGGGCGCTTCTTGCTGAGTAGCTATAGCTTCCCACATAAATCGATCTTAGGACTAGTAATAAGCTCTATTCCCATGAGTATACAGTTTACTCAAGGTGAGGATTCGTCTTTGAGGTTAACTTAACCTAAGAATTTTCCTAATCATGTCAGAAAATACTATATTATACTATTATATAAATTGTGTATTGTATTTTAAATAATAAATTTATATAAATGGTTCCAAAGTTATTTCGTGTGACTGATTAAAATGTAAATGATCCTGTAAGCGCAACGATACAAGGAAAATGAGCATAACTTAAAATGTATTTTAAATTCTTGCATTGAACTCATGTGAAAATCTTGTATTGGTTTTCATGAGTGCATACAAGGGGAACAAGACTTTGGTACCATCCCAAAAGAAGCATGTTTGAGAGGGACGTTAGGGAGCGGGGTCGTCGAACGACGTCGGCGTCCGTGCCGGGAGGGGCGACGGTTTCGGCGCGCGCTATCGATCGGATCGCATACCTTCCTGCGGCCGCAGCAGAGCATCCTCCGAGCGCGCGACTGTCCGCCCGGCGAAGACTTCAACCTGGTAAGTTTTCGCCACTGCATGGGTACAGGTTAACGCGGCGATTGCAAGAGCGACCGCGGGGCCGGCATCGCGACGCCGCGGGCGTCAGGACGCGGCCGGAGCACGCGAGCCTTCCTCGCGAAGTGCCCGCCGTGAGCCCGCGCTTGCGCCCTCCAAGCCACCCTCTTTGCCCCTTACTCCTCACGATTAATAATTCCGGCTACGCTGCCAGTGCGTATGTGGGTTAGTTTTTTGGCGATCGATGCGATTATTCGGTGCGAGCCGCTTCCGGCCGCCAGACTATCGCGGTGCACCCGACACGCCGACTGACGACCTATTAATCGCATTTCGACATCACCCTTTCAAGTGGCGTGTCAGCGCCACAACGTAAAGTCCTTATTTGGACGTTTACTCACACATGTCATTTGAATAACCTTAAAATTGATTACTATTTATTTAAAGAGAATTAATACGTGAAGCAAAAACTTTGTATCCCTTTTTACGAAAATTGCGCGGACGGAGGAGTATTAAATTTTCCACACTTATAGAGAATTTAAAGAAGAAGTGCACAATGCTATTTTTTTTAATAATGCATAAAAGACACATTAAACCAATAAAGAAAACATTACACACACTACATACCATGTATTTGACGCACGCACGCATGCATACTATTTATTGTCAAACTTTTGTTCTTGACGTCTGTGGTCAAATTGAGAATAGATTAAATATTGTTTGTCATTAATATTTTTTTATAGTGTAGCCTTGGCGAAATTTGTGATTATAGAAATATAAATTACAATCATAATAGTGTACAAACTTACAATTCCAATTAATTATAGTCGAATTTCGACTACTGTGTGACCTCTAGTTTATTTAAAGAGACGATAAATGTAACCAAATTTCATTCATGCTATTGTGTAACACTAAGTTATTATATTATATTTATTTGCTCATTATTAACACTATTCAAAAAACTAAAAAGTAATATACCTAATTATAATAAATTATGAAGTATATTTTCAATTCGAAGTAATCGCTTTTTCCTAGTCACAATTTTAGTCGTCATAAAATAAACAAAAACCATGCTCGAAAATTAAGATTAGTAGTATAACTGATAATTCCCGACAGAAAACAATTGACATCGCATCGAAAAAATTACATTAACCTATATTTTATGCACGGCACGCAATGTAACATGATGTGAAATCTGCTGACCCACGAGATTTACAGTCTCGCCCGAACTCGAATTACGACCACCGCCACATTGGTTTTACATTTCGGCTTAACGAAATATTAAATCACTAAAATTTTGTACCAGCTTAGTAACTTCCAATCAGGTCACGTTCTTGTTGCCCGAACAGTTCACGATTATTCAATCATGACACATAATATATACAAGTTCGTTAAGGATAAAAAAACCCAATCTATACTAATATATAAATCTACAGTGGTTTTTATGGATGTTCCATTATAACTACTGAACCATGCATCCGATTGACTTGAAACTTGGCATTCATATAGAAAATACATGTTCTTAATGGATAGGCTAAATATTTTTTATGAGTGTTGGACTCCCTAATAATAATGACAATAAAAAGTAATGTTAATTTTAAATGCCCAGCGAAGCGGGCGAGTACGGCTAGTTATATTATAAAACTATATTGTTTGTTTGGCATTTTAGTGTCATTTGAGTCTGAGAACAGCCTAATGAAGGTTATTTGTGTAATTATAAAGGAGCAGAAGTCCAAGGTTTCTAAAGGGTGGTAACAATGTAGTACAAACTGTCAAAGGCCTTATATCCGGCCACGTAAATGACGGCCTAACCACGATTCAAATGCGGGAATGTAGGAAGGCAACCCGAAACTTTTGTTTGGTTTGGTTGGTTAAAAGCAAATTGACGAAATCCTGTAACTTTTTACAGTAGGTATACCCGCAAGAGAAACGCTGATTCATAGAAAGCCCTTTCGTCGGACCATTAGACACACAAAGAAACTAAGCCCGCTCCTGATTTTTCAGGTGTATTTGTAAAGAGAAATTCGCTATTTGTTTTTAAATGTAGGCAGAATATTCGTTTTCTAAAGAACGGTATATTGAATTACCGAGAGCTCTTTCAGTCAGCCATAAAAGAAATAAAGCCTAGATTCGAAGTATATTAGCAGACTTAAATTATTTCTTCGTATATAAAAATCATAATCTTCCAAATTTATCAAACATGGCACCGGTCAAACGGTTTGTCAAAACGTGGCTTAATTAATATAGCGGTATGACATACACCGTGGAAACTTCTTTTACATTTTCTAGTAAAAAGATTAATACTGTATGCACAGGCGATGAAAATTGATGTTATCAACATAACGTAAGGTCGTATTGTTAATTTCGAAATAGCGTGGTTGGTGTCCCTGTCGAAATTGATTAGGGCAATTTGGCTAAGGTAAAGTATATTTATTTTACTTTCTCCATTTCATCGACGACAAAGTACTGAAAGTACCTTTGTGGATATAAAAAATAACCTGTAATAAAATATGTAAGTATTAAGTAAATCGAAGGGGACGAGACTATTGGCGAACTTATGTTAAGTCATTACTGGAGCCAATTGATACTTCGTGTTTGCCGCCACCCGTAGTCGTTTTTCTACGGAGGCAACAAAAAGGTTAAGGGTTATAAACATATGCTAGCTGTACCCGTCCACTTCGCTGGGCATTTAAAATTAACATTATTATTTCTCACCCCCACAAACATCCTCATCATTAACGCCCCCGCAACTGGTGTAGGTGTAGGTCTAACACTCATATAAATATTAGCCTATTCATTAAGTACATGTATTTTCTACATGGATACCAAGTTTCAAGTCAATCGATTACATTATAACGGAACATCCGTAAAAACTACTGTAGATTTATATATTAGTATAGATGTTGCAAAATAGGGAAGCACGTCCTTACGGATCCATCAGATCCAATAACCTTTGCATTAGACGCCTTCAGCTCTAACACTAGGAGCAGGCTTAGGGACCTCGGTAACCGTACTCGTCGAACTCGACAAAGAGTTCGCCGTGCAACCTAACCCATGAATCAGCTCGCTGAGTTTCTCGCCGGATCTTCTCAGCGGGTCGCGATTCCGATCCGGTGGTNAAAAAAAAAAAAAAAAAAAAAAAAAAAAAAAAAAAAAAAAAAAAAAAAAAAAGTAGCCTATGTTCATCAGGGACAATGTCGGCTTCTAATGGAAAAAGAATTTTTCAAATCAGTCCAGTAGTTTCGGAGCCTATTCGAAACAAACAAACAAATCTTTCCTCTTTATAATATTAAGTATAGATAGATGCGACATATATAAATGCCAGCCATATCAAACTTCTGCTTCCTTCCGAACCACTAACGGTGCTTTTAGGTACCCCCAAGCACCGGTCAACGTTCTCGTCGAACCCGTCGCCTGCGATGAAGGGCTCGGCGAGTAAAAGGCCAACAGCAGCTTAGGAAGGAAAAATAAACTTCCCTACCTACCTCGTAGCCTCCTACCTCGCCTACGTCCTGGTCTACGTTTCAGCCTATCTTCATATTCCAGCCCCAAGACTAGATAGATAGACTAGACAGTTAATTTCTCGTCGATTGATTCGTTATTTATTGTAAAGAAAACTAATTACTTGGAAATTCTTCAGTTAGTATGAAACAAGTTTGACACTTAGTTCCTTTTACTTAAGCATCTAATGTGGTTTGTGTAAGGAAAAGTTCCTCAAGATACAAAAACGTGGCGCGAAATTGTACGTTTTGATCTTGAAGTAGATTGGGCCCAACATTTAGTTACTTTTATAGTGATTACCAGCGAATTTTCGTGATTCCCAACAGGGCGCTCAACGTATTACGCGAGGCTCCCCCTCATTTTCGTGTGTTTACGTGAAACCAGACACAGTTTCCAGAAAATTCCAAAAAAAAACATGTGTATGAAATGCATGCTTCGAGATCGACACTTATTTTATACCCCCAGATATAATTCGCCTAATGAAATGAGTAGTGATTAGTGAGCATATCTCACATATACATACCCTTCTTCATTCTAAATTTATCAGTAACGTCGGCCCATTTTGTCCACTGGCATACATATGTATATCGGCCATCCCAATATACGACAAATGCGTATACATCATAACATGTTTCGCTCTTTGGCCCTATATAAATTACTAAGAAAATATGACACATGCTCCGTAAAAAAATGTACAAACAAACCTTCATCATTATGTATAATGCTCGTGAGGCGCATAACATCTGCCCACAGCAATTATACTGAATGACGACCACGACCGCTCTGATAAGAGTGATATGACAAAGGAATAAAAAAAAAATATAGTAACGAGAAGCACATATAGCAAGCACAATAAAACTATTATACACAATCATATTGTTATCACACTATTTTTCAATTATCATATTATGTTAGTGAAAGCGCAAACATACTTAAAACAATAGAATAACAGAGTTAAATAAATTCAGAGAATATTTTTATTTCATATTCGACCCTTATATTCAACAATTTTAAAGGAACATCGTCTCATCAATTTTGATTAGCACGAGTTTATTGACTTTTTAATGGATTCAGAACAAACAAGAATGAAAAATGGCGTTTATACGTATATTGTATACATTGGTACATCAGCAACATTCAGTTGTCATGTTGAAAATGTTTTTTTTAGCTCACGGCCCAGCTGGTATTATGTGGTTACCGGAACCCATAGACATATACAACGTAAATGCCACCTTGAAATATGAGTTCTAAGGTCTCAGTTTTTATAATACAATTAGGCAAAAATACATGAAAAGAATTACAAGTATTTATTTATCTATGTTTAAATTCTTACCACTTACGTGCATGTCGTAGCATCACTTGAGAACGAATCGACCAGTTCCACTGATTTATTTCTTAGTGTATTCGTAATTACCAGGACAAACTTGGTATGAATATATTTATTGGAAAACCCATCGAGAACTACACCGCAATACACTTGCTATACTTTTTTCAGAATGTCTGTAGATAAACGGTTGTCTGGGAG